CTTGGAATATAATGATTATTCAGTAGGATGCATTCTAGCAGACTTCAGGAAATAATGGGTCTGGTCTTGATGCTAAACTGAGTTTTCAGTGTCCGTGTATGTCATAGGGAGAAGGGTACTCTGTAGGTTTTTGGAAATTATTGCACAAACAAGATTGTTTTCTGACATACTATTCCTTCTGACATTGATGACAAAAACACAGCAAAAAGAATTTCAAGAAGCCATCAGGGTAAAAGAAAACCGCAGTTGAGCTGTGAGGAAGAAACTCCCCTTTTCATGGAAAGCTATAATTCTATTCGGTGATAAAACTCGTTTGGAACTTCCCTAATGAAAAAATTTCGTAAAGGATTCATTTCCATTTTCTTTTCTTGTTAATGTTTGGCAGTCAAGGTTGCAGCTAGATCACGCTATCCCAAAGACCCATTTGAGTCCAAGGACACAACTCACAATCCTCGGCTTGTGGCCGAGCCAGGTGAAGGAGTTGGGGAGCCCACCCCACTTTTAATAACCGCACGCTTCAGCGTTCTATCTTAACATGCTGAGCTCGGTTGAAGAAGACAGATGTACTGTTGTCGATTTCAGCATGCATTCAGCTTGCTGGGCAGCAAAATACCAAAGAGAAAAGCCATAGCAGACAAGAAATAACAATTAAAACGACCCTGCCTCCAGTCTAGCAGCTTGCTCAAGACCTTCGTCGGAAGCCCTGTTAGCTAGATGCCTTTGCGTTCAAGCCACTTTGCATGCCGCTCACTCTGAGTGATTCCAGTGTGAATATGACATTACTAATGACCTGCTAAGTGTGTGCAGATGTGGGTTTCTCCAGATGTGGTGATTCATAACGTAATGGAGATAGCCGGTCGATTCATGTTTATGGTTTGTTTGCCTTTTATTGCATTTCTGAGGTTATTTGCTTTGAACTGTTTTTTAACTCTGGCCAACAAATTCACCTTTAAGTGTCAAAGGGCGTCATCCCCCCAAACCCTGTGGCAGAAACGGGGAAGGGGAAGAGGGAATGTGTCCCAGGCTGGACCTGAGCTCTGGATCCATCACATGTCAGCATTAGGCTGTTTAGAAAAGCTGAAAGTTGAAATCCTTGCCCCATTTTACTCAAAAGGCCCCCAAAGAGGCATTGGTAACCCTGACACGGTGTTTGCAAGCTGGCGAGGCCAATAAAGAAAGGGATTTCTTTAAAAAAAAAAAATCCAGTGAAATATATGATCATCTTGAAATAAGCCCAGAGCTCTGGCCAGTGTTTCTGGAGAATGTTGCCTTGCTTTTGCTTGAAAACAGAATGCCGATGAAAAGTCGAGTAAAATGTTGTTACAGATGTTCGACTCTGCATTAAGGCTGTTGGAATTACCACCACATCTTAAATCAATTCCCAGAACATTGTCTGGAGGTTATGTCATTGAAATAATGAATCCTCTTTAGTCAAGTATAAGCAAACATGTTAAAACATCATTGTAACTTTAAATTAAACTCTAGCGCAAACCAAGGGATCTGAAGCCTCATTAGACTTGCCTGACATTTTTCTAGCACTGAGTCTTCCCCAACTGTAAAACTGTTAGATTCAGAGCCTATTAGACAAGTGAGCGCTGGGAAGTTACAACAGCACATTAAGTGTTATACTTAGGGATGTGCAAAAACAAGCCCTTGAATTTTATGAGCACTTGGAGACTGGATGGAGTTCAGCTCCTATAAAAATTCCACATTGGATTCCTGAACTTGTTTGTGTTTTAAAAAAGCCGGTAAGTCAGGTTCCTTTCAAAGATCGTATCTTCATGTGCTTCCACAGCATGATGCGAGTGAAAATGCCGGAGACAGGGGTGTATGATAATTAGCCAAAAAGCAGGCTAAGTAGGAGCCCATAAATGTGTGTTGGCATGAGGTAGTGGCCAATTACCTCAATACATTTGTCTTTCATGAAAGTAAGTAAATTTCAGTCTCCCTTTTAATTCCATTTTTATTCCTTACATATAGCCACAGAAGCCATGAGATGAAAATTATATTTTATAGCTTCACTAAAAGTTTTTCTAGATCTGTTTTCTTTAAATATGCAGAAATTGATAGAATCCCTATAAAGGATAATAATTAAATATGGTTTATAACCTACTTATGAGAGAGAAGTTATCACTGCTTCTCTCGTGGGATCTAAGCCATATGTAATGGTCTCCATTACACAACATTCATATATTTAAGCTGAAGACATTTTTTCCACCCATTTCTTCAGGGAACGGATCTACATTTCCAGGCCTGTGAGTGCAGGAGGAAACCTGTGAACATGAGTTTCATTTAAGAGAACAAATCCCAGTTTAAATGCAGTATGATTATGATGGATGATCTTTCTGAGTTGCAATGAAAATAAATAGTTTCCTTGCATAGAAGGAGGCATAACTTTAGCACTAGAACAAAGTGTCTCCCTGGAGCTGGGTAACAGGTATTAACTTACACATCTTCCACGTGAAGATCACTGCATGTAAACAAACAGTGACAAGGTGCGAGGATAATGGGCTCTTAACCAAAGAGAGTTATTTATTACAGGTCCAGTGCAAATGGGGAGACAATAGTTGAGCAAAAGACTCCAATAGAACTGCCAGTGAGTGGGACTTCTGTTCAGGACCTTACTGAAATGGACTCACTGAATAAATTGGACAAAACCATGGCAACATCTGGTGGCCTTGCATAAAGCTAGTCATAGTAGCCTAGGTTGGGTAAAAGACCTTTCTGGGTATGTCACTCTAACCATAAGAAGGCCCGTGTGTTAGAGGAGAGAACTTTTCACCCCAGCTAGACCCACTCATATGCACACATGTTATCCAGTCTGTCATGTGACAACTAATCAAGGTCACCCTGAACACAGTACAGCAATTGCAAGTGGTCCATATTAAAAGGTGAACTTGTATTATGGGTGGAATCAGTGCAAAACTTTCTACCCCATCCTTAGATGGGGAAAATGCAGAAGTATACTTATACACACACACCTTTCTCTCTCTCTCTCTCTCTTTCTCTCTTTCTCTCTCTCTCCCTTTCTCTTTCACTCACTGCCTTTCTACCCCATTATTAACCTGGGATGCCCGGCCCCCTATCCTGTGAAAGGAAGATGAATTCAGGTCAAGCTCAGAGTGCCTGTTTGCTTGCCGAGAGATGCATATCAACTCTAAGTGATTTTTTTCAATACCATTTATGTGGCTTGTATTTATTTCCTTTAATCTTTTAAGTGCTGTTTAGTCTCTGTGTGATTTGCTGTGGATACTCATTTCTGATAAGATGTGATATCCTCCCAGCCACATAGTTCCTGCCTGGAGCCCTAAGTGACTGATAGGGTCGCAGCCTGAGCCTGGGCCTCAGGGGGGACGGGGTGGGGGAGTAGCTGGTAGAGTGAGTGGGCTGTGGGCATTTGTGGGTGCTTTCTTGTCTTCGCTGCTTCTGGAATCACTCTCACCTCACTGCATTCTTGTTCCCTTTCCATGTGTCAGCCAGAATATAGACAAGCCCAGACTAACAGTGGAATAGGGGAATGTACCAAGTGGGGTACTCTGAAGCAGGCTTGGAAGATAGTTGGATTATTAGAATCCGTGCGAACCATGTATCATAACATACTAAATTTATTTAGGGTTTTCAGGGAAGTATCATATAATGCATGTCCCGATATGGATATGGGTCTTCCCGGGCAATGTCAAGTAGCTGAGATGACATTCCCCCCCCACCCCCGCCGAATAAGACTTACACCATTAACATATGTCAAGCTTCTTTTGATGTCATCACTGCTAATATTTCTCTTCTTAGCTTTAACGTAACTGCCGTGCATTCCGGGTTTCAAGGGTGCTTCCTCCCAGTCTGTGTTGCAGTCAACTCTAAGAATCCAAGGATCCTATATTTTTCCTTCTTGACATTACAGCTTTAGCCTGAAATGTGGGGGTGGGTAGAGGAGGGCTAGAATTTTGCGGCTGATGCCCTTGGGTGACAGGCTGGGTGCGCATTTGCTAATTATCAAGCAGCTCTCTTAAAAAGAAGCATGATGCAAGCTAATACATCTATAAAGCTTATTAGTGGGTGTCTTTGGGCAAAAGCAGTAGAGTGTGCTGTGTTGTTTGTGAGCGAACCTTTACATTGCTTAGCAATCTGTGTGGTTTAGACATTTGGAAAACAGCCTTTGGTTTCCAACGCCCTCTGCTGCCCTCCCTCCCTGCCCCCCACCACATCATCAGAGATATCACTCAGTGGCAACCTCCTCCTTCATTTGGGTGCTCTTCTCCGGCCTGGTTTTCCAACCTCACAGTCCAGTCTTAATGAGTGGAGAAAGGATCCCATGTGCACGCCCCCACATGCTCTCCCTCTAGGGAGCAGCAGGAACAGAGCTGAGATGGGCTGGGGATCCTTGAGCCAGCAGGCACCAATGTTCCCAGTCCTGACTGATTGAAACATTGGCTGTCAAGGCCTCGGTTCCTTGCCTCTCTCCGAGGCTCTTGCTCTGGCGTGCAGGGATTAGGCACCAGCTAAGTTGGTTCATTTGTAGGATCAACTGGCTGGCTGCTCTTCTGCTGCCATTGCCCATACAACTTTATTTCTGATTGTGGCTTTGGAAAAACCCATTTGATTACTCAGCGAAGTAACTGAAATTAACTCTAAGAATAATGATTGAGTGTTCCCACATATATATATAATATATATATATATATATATAATATATATGTGTGAATATTTTTTATATACGGATAAATCATGATTTCTTTTCTCTCTTATGGCAGGGTGCTTACAAACTGATGTAGTCTGTTTCAAGTGCATGTTCAAAAGCTGGAGTGCTAAGAGGTGATGATTTCACCTTTTCTAAGCCGGCCTCTTTGACTAACACATTTGGTCTTTGTCACTGGGTCCTAAAAGACAGCCATGAGTTCCTAGTGAGTGACTGAGCCGTGAGTGTGTGTCCTTTGATATCTTGCCTGTATCTCTCAGTCTGCCCTCAAACTGTTCATAATCTCATGAGCTGCCTGTCTTTCCAGTTGAAGATGAGCAGCCATCAACACTGTCCCCCAAAAAAAAGCAGCGGAACGGAGGCATGCGGAACTCGCCGAGCTCCTCACCCAAGCTGATGAGGTAAGAAGAGGGGCCACGAGGGCCCACGTGGGGCACCCCTCCAGTTCCTCTCCTCCCCTCAGGGCCCCCTCCCCGCCCGGCCCAGGCCCGGCGCCTCCCCTCCCCCGGCAAGGCAAACACGAGGCGGGGGAGGGGACCGATCGTTAGGTGGCTTCTTAAAGGCTGGAGTATTTATTCTGTCAGCTTGTCAGCAGTTAATGATAGAGCTGAAAAAATTCTGTCATGAAAAACAGTTTGAAAAGCTGTTTGAAAAATACATAGGCTTTAAAGTCTTAGCTGTCACCATGTCCTGTCTATGTGTAGTTCCTAAACAGCAGTGGCACTAATGACGCCGGGAACCAATCAGAGAGACGCGTGTGTTTAGTTTGCCTCCGGCGAGTCTCTTTCTGCTGGAGTCCCTCCGAGGACTGTTTTCTGTACTTAAGGCCATATGTGAGATGTATCATCACAATCAAAAATGAACCTGAAGATTACCTTCTTTTTATCCTGTCGATTGAAATCAAATTTCTGTTAATTGATTTTGACTGATAAAAAAGTCTAATAATCTGTGGACTTGACAAAGCAAAGTTCAGAAGTAATCCAGTTCTGCTCAGGCTAAAAGCAATATTAATTATGAAATAGAGTGTGTGTGTACTCTCTCTCTCCCCCTCCCCCTCCCCCTCCTTCCTTCCCTCCCTCCCTCCCTTTTGTCCTTCCTTCCTTCCATCCATCCATCTTGACTATGGCTTCATCTTGGAAATGGCAAATGAAACCAAATTTCAACAGAGGTCTGCAGGTTTCTCTTTTGGGCCTCTTCATCCTTCATTTCCCCTGGTTGTTTTTGATTCATCTGCCAATCCCAGTGCTTATTTCCTCTAACATCCTAACTCTCTAGCACCTCGGTGATGAAACAGGAGTGATCCCTAAATGATCACTGCCATGGAAACACCTGACATCTTGATGCTTGATGTTTCTTTCTTTCTTTTTTCTTTTTTTCTTTTCTTTTCTTTTCTTT